TGTATGAATGATCATAGGTTGAAATAGCAGATTTTAAAATGCGGAAAAAATAAAACTATCGGTTGCAAACAATGGAGACCATGTTTGTGTATATATACCTCGAAGTAGAGCTCTACAGGACCAGATTCATCAACAGTAAGACCACCTTTGAGCATGGACCAACATTTGGATTCAGCAACAACCGAACCCGCAAATAGATATTCACTGTTCATCTTGAAAACGGCTCCCACGGGAGCATTTGATTCGCTTACTTGTAACCAAGCTACAAGTAACATAAAAGACATCAGATAATAATTGGCAAAATGATTATAAAATTCTAAACAGTGTGCTCCAAGAAACAAAAAAATTGAAATTATTTTTACCAGAGAAAGTGTAGAGAAGTCCCTTTTCCAAATAAACCTTCTGTGAAACGCTGTCATACGATTGGTTTCTCTCTCGTGCAACAACAAACTTATTGCCTCCAAATTCTCTGAAATCGATTTTGGCGTTTCCGAATTGTGACCAGCCTTGTGTACCATTTTGTAGGTCAGGGTTCACAATGATCCCACCATTGTATTGTGGTTTATTAGGGTTCTCTAGACACTGCACCAATACAAAAAGATAAATTAGAAACAAATATTTCCAATCGAACATGTTTGAATGAACATAGCATTGCTTGCCTCTATTGTTGCCGAGTAATCATACGGTACGAACTTTTCTTCACACCCTGCAAACGTTTTCATATAAAAAAATGCTACATTAATTTCTGTTTTTCATTGATTCAATCATTCAAAAGTTTTTTAGCATATAATATATACATGAAAAATATAGGAAAATCAGAGTATCAGACGGAGAACAACTTGATAGAGAAAGACCGTGGAAGGCAAACAGAAGCAGCAGAAGCTTCATTGCGGAAATAGAGAATATATCACTTGATGATAATTCAGGGTTTTCAATAATATATATGCAATATATATTTATGATCTTGACATATTTAGTTGACAAAAACAATTCTGACTATACTTTACTTTTAACTTGGTTACCATACTCGTTTTGAAAATAGAAAAAAAGCTAAGATATTTCTTAAAGACTAACCTCTCTTTTTTTTTTTTTTGCACGGAGGCCAAATGTATGGCAATCAAATCTAGTTAGTAGCAAAAATTCTAGTCAATAGTCAATAGATACACCATTTCTAAAAAAAATTTAAGAGACATGTAAATCCTAATTAAAATCCACAAAATCCCTATATATCTTATAAATTGGTTTCGTTTCCTTTGATATAATCGTCATGGTCAAAAATAAAAACACATGTTATCATATAAAAATATTGTTTTATACTTTTATATTGTACAATCAATAGTCTATTAAATTAAAAGTTGGGCTAGAACAAGGCTTAAACGTTATCGAAATAGTTAGAGAAATTGTTCAATATTATTGATAACTCCATTACAATATCAATGCTTAGGCCTTAAGAACCCAACCGAATGATCCTCCTGATTAGCCCTTGGGGGTTTCTTCAGACACGGCTACACATACCATGTCACTGATACTCATGTATAAAGTAGTTGTATACTTGGCTTCTTAAACATGAAAGACAAAAGATGGTGGTTGAGTGTTGGAGGAGCCATCAGAAGTCAGCTTAAAGCTGTGAGAAGATTTTGAATTGGAATGATCAATCTTGAGATCATAATCACCATGGAAGAGTGAAGCTTCAAAGAATCCATTAGCATCAGTGACACCTGTGGTTTGTCTACGAAACCCTCCCCATTCATGCAAAAGTTTGTCCACTACGTCTCCGGTCGGTAGGTTCTTGAAGTTTCCATCGGTCAGGCACATTCGGTAGCAACCTGATGGAGAATAACCTGCCCATGTCACGATTCCTTTCACTTGNGNATGCGCGTGGCCTTCCCTTAAGACCTGTTCGTAATACTTGGCCTGCAAGAAAACTGAACATCAGACCGATAAGAAGTGATCAAAACCGCAAATAAAAGAACATGGGTGGACAAACAGAGGAAAATGATGGTATGTATGGAACAAAATGGAACCGGAAAAGATCTCAGATGGGATGGTATTTTTGTGAACCGCGGTTATCAGAGATCTATGAGTTACCTGGACATTTTGAGGAGCTTCGACGTCGACCTCAGTAAGCCAAATAGGCAAACCGGTAGCAGCAAGAGTATCAAGAGCTGATCTCATATACGGAAGGCTAGGAGTCTTGAAATGAGACTCAAGACCAATCCCTAACGATATGTTTCCCGTGACCCGAATAGATCTAAGCTCTCTAAGCTTCTGCAAATACCTTTGTGGACTCGAATCCGGATCCCTCGGTTCCTCTAACGTATTGTACTCATTTATAAACTTAGTTGTCGTTGGATCGTACGCTTGAGCCATCTTATAAATGTTATAAGAAGCNTTAGGACCCATCTTTGTCTCAAAGTAGTNAAAATGAAGATTCTCATTCACAACATCCCAACCNGCAAGCTGGCCTCTGTATCGCGAAGCCACCGAGTAAACCCTTCNCTTCACNGCANTGTAGAACTCGCGGCCAGAGNGAGCATTCAACCATTGAAGTTGATACTTAGGGTCGTTCCATACAATATTGTGACCACGTACCGCGACACCATGCTGCTTGAAGAATTTCAGCATTNCGTCTGCGGTNGAGTAATCTTCTTTGCCTCTAANGTTTTCCGTGCTGTACCATTTCATCTCGTTCGCGAAAGTTGTCACAGTGAACCTTTGAGTGAACCAGTTTTGGTATGCTTGGTTCCCAAGTATGTTCTTTTCTACCTCGTATCCGAATGGGAAACCTAGTTTAGATAAAACTAATAAAAGAATGAGACTCTTTCAATTTATTAAGTTTGAATGCCTTTAATTTTCTATGGAAATAAATAGATATCGATGGATTTTACCCATTAAATTGACCTTTTAGTCAATAACTTGAGATTAAAAAATCGATGTGGGCAAAAAATGTTTTTGACATGGGAGCAATAATTTGGATCTTAAAAAAAAAAATATATTGGCTACAAATTTTTGAGTGGGTGCAATTGGCCCCAACTTGTTGCATGTAGCTCCGCCCCTGGCCACATAGTCTCCTTCCTCTCTGCAAAGGAAGTTGTTTTCACATCGGTTCTCTCAAAGAGGTTTCAAATAATCTGTATGACATCATACAAAATCTTGAGTTTGATGGGTCATTAGGGAGTTTCACAGATTTCGTGGACGGAGTATTGTTTCTGCCTGCTAGTACTCGCATAATGAGATTCTCTCTAAAATGTCAAGATGATGATGTTGATAAAACTCACTATGCTCATATCAACCGTTGTCTATGTGATGTACTGAATAATGGTGTCTTGGATCTCGAACTAGAAATATATATATATATATGGTGAT